GGGCTCCGCCCCGAAGGCCCCGGCCACGCCCCGGACGGACGCGCGGTTGACGAAGCACGGGCACGCGTCGGCCCCGGGGACCTCGCGGAAGAAGAGGGAGGCGCCTGCGCCCTCGCGCTCACGCTGGCGCCGGCGCAGGCGCAGGCGCTGGCGCGCGCCAAGGTGGCGTGGCTGCTGCATGAAGAGCAGCGCCGGCAGCTTCTCCAGGAAGACGACCTTGACCCAGGGCGCCATGGTGTGCGTGGTGGGGGAGCGGTGGTGCACGTTGAGCACGCACACGCTGGTGACGATGGAGAAGGTGACGAGCACCATGGTGAACATGAGGTACTTGCCGACGAGCGGCACGTCGAGGGAGGTGGGCGGCACGATCTTGGAGATGAGCAGCAGGAAGACGGTGAGCGCCAGCAGCACCGAGATGCACAGCGTCATCTTCTCGCCGCAGTCGGACGGCAGGTAGAAGACCAGGATGGCCAGCGAGGTGATGAGCACGCAGGGGATGATGAGGTTGATGGTGTAGAAGAGCGGCTTGCGGCGGATGATGAAGTCGTATGTGATGTCCACGTAGGTGGAGTCGTCGGGGTTCTCGTTGCGCCGGCCCGGCAGTGCCACGATGTCCCACTCGCCGCTGGGCGTGAAGTCGTCCAGGCTGGCCACGTCGCTTTTGAGCACTAGGTCGATCTCGGTGCGGTCGTAGGTCCACGAGCGGAACTTCATGGTGCAGTTCTGCTGGTCAAACGGGAAGTGCTTTACCTCGATCTTGCATGCGCTCTTATAGATGGCGGGCGGCAGCCAGAAAATGCTACCGTCATAGGAGACCACAGCGTTGGAATAGAAGGACACCTCGTACATGCCGTCGGCGCTGCCAAGGGAGGGGCACAGTCAGCCGTGGCCTGAGCGTTCCCGCATCCTCACCATCAACCCAGCCACGGGTGGGAGGGAAGGAAAGCCAGACAGAGATACGGGGAGACCGAGGGCTGAGGGGGTGGTGACCATCCAGGAATAGAGAGAGGTGATGCTGGAACTGAGCAAGAAGGGGATGGAAGTGGGTTGGTGGGGAGAAGACGTGTCCTGGTCAGGAGGCCTGTGTGGCCCCTTGGAGGTAGAAGAGGGGGGACGGGGGACGGGGGGAGGGCACATGTGCTACTTGTCACGCATTGTGTAAGCTGGTTGCTTCACATGAGGGTGGAGAGATAGGGGAAAGCGAGGAGGCCAGAATGAGGAACCCCAAGCAGTGGAGCAGTGCAGGGGCAGGTGGGATCAGGGGACAGCCCCATCAGTGGAGGGAGATAGTTTTGTATCTTGGAGGTGAGAGGGATTATTGCAGAAGAGGGGATGGAACTTGGACGAGAAAACTGGGACCTCAAGGTTCTTTGATGGTGCCCAGGCTTCCAGGAGAGCCTATTCTTGAGCCAGTTTAGGCACTGGGGGCTGTCAGGCCTTGTTTGTAACCCCCCCGTCCCCGCAGCTGCAAACACTAGGAGTCCTAATTGGCTGGTAGGGGCTGGCCGTGGCTCTGTCTGCTCGTCTGGATAGTGACTGTGTATCTGCCAATGAAAAGTTCCTCCCTCCCCATCATGGGTGAATTTCTCCTACTTTTCCCACGGCCCCTCCCCTCCCCGAGCACTCCCACAGTCTCCCCCGGACTCCCCATTGCCCCAGCGTCGCCTACTTGTTGTACAGGACCACATCTGGGAGCCAGATGTGCTTGGATGGGAGCCGAACTTTCTTCATGTTGTCAAACTCTTCGGGTTTCCAGGCGAGGCGATAATCCTCCCACTCCTGGGGAAGGGAGAGAGAGAAACAGCACCACCTTCCGCTCAGGGAGGGGCTTGAGGTCAAGGACGGACAGGGACAAGAGGGACCACATCTGGTTTGAGGAAGCTTTCAAAAGGCAGCTCCTCCCCACAGTGACTTCTCTGCCCCGCAAGTGTGGCTCATTAGTTTCTCGTTTAATTCGCACCGCTAAGCCAAGATATTAGAATCTACATGTGACACCTGAGAAAATTGAGTCTTGGAGCATTTACCATGTTCAAAGCCACAGAGCTGGTACGTGGCAGAACCAGGATTGAAATCGCGTTATTTCGATTGCAGAGTCTATACCTGTCTGCTGCTCTCGAGAGGGAAAGCGGGCAAATCACATGCAACAGGGAAGGGAGAAAGGGAAGGCCAGGGCTGTGGGTGGGAGAAGCACTAACCTGGGTCAACCAGACGTTCGTGGTCATGATCTGCTCCCGCTCATGCTGTGCAGAAGAGAAGCTGCTGAGCAGGCCCCTAGCCTGTGGACTCGCCACCCCCTGTGTCCCTCCCATCCCGCCCCAAGCCTTGGGGACTCCAGAGGAGTCAGCACAAACATGCACACATCGCAACTATGCTGACTTCAGTAGCTGGGCAGAGTTTGGGTCCCCTCACTCACCACGCTGATCAGTTGGGCCAGTGACACCATGAGCTGAACCGTCACCAGTTCAGAGCCATTGGCGGCTGGACGGATGAGCTTGTTGTAGCGAGAAGGATCCAGGAGATGCTCCACCAGCCGCTGCTCTGTGTCTGTACCCCAGACCCCTGGGCAGGAGAGGGCAGGAGGTAAGTAAGTAGGCAGGGAGGGCCCACCCAGGATCTCACTCTACCGAGGCAAGTGGGACACCCCAGGCTTAACCAAGAGGCTACAGCTTCCCACTCTTCCATCCCTAAGGATACTGCAAAGTGCTTAGGTTACCCTATGGAGCCCCTAGACCAAGATCCTCACAGAGAAGCCCCTCTCTGAGATCACTGACCAAGGAGCCCAGACAAAGCCCGTGGAGATACCTCCAGACTAAGAAGCCACTCCACAAGGATTAGCAGAGACCTACTCTTCCCCTAAGGTCTCAAAGGGTGGATTCAAAGGCTTCAGATTTCTGCTTCTGGGAGTTCCTCCGGCAGATAACTATGACTAAAGGGAGGGCTTTGGAGGGTCATGAAAGGAGGAACAGTTATTAGTGTCCCTCCTCACACTCTTTCTCCTCAGGGCCCCTCTATGTGTGCAGATAACATTATGTGCTTCCACATGTGACTGTGGCCACAATCCCCACCCCCAAAAAAGCATTAGGTTTAAGTAGGCGATTTGAGTAGCCTGAGCTGCGAGTTGCACACACAGAAGCCCAGCCCCCCTGAGGTGGCATGGGAGTGTGGAAAGGCATTCAGTTGTACCTTCCCTTTCTACCTGCGCCTCCACACACTCTGTCCCCTTCTGCAACTCTGCACTGGCACATACCCGCAGCCCTCCGAGCACTGCTTCCTGGCCCTCTGCTCAACGTCTCCTGTCCCACCCTACAAGAGCGCTGGGCAATCAGTTCTCTCCCTTCCCCTGAGGGGTGACCAGACTTGGGAGCCCAAGTAGGGCGAGGAAGCGATGGCCAGCCGGGGGAGGAGCGTGGAACCAGGTAGATTTCTTGAGCTAACGTTTCCCAAGATGCCAGCTGCGGTCAGAGCCTACCCTCCTGCCACTCCAGAAAGCCTGGGGAGCTCCCCTCCCTCCTTCCTCTCTGTGCCCACACCTGTCCCACCACTGCCCCGGTTTCCATCTCTCCCTCGCATCACTTACTCCTTCGGATACCTTCTCCCCCCAGTTCAGTTTCCTAGGCGCTCCCTCCAGTCCCCTGGGACCTGTCCCCTAACCGCCAGTAGGCTCCCCTACCTCTGGGGGATCCCATCTTCCGGCTTGTCGGGGTGAGACTGCGCGGCGAATCCTGAACCACTGGCTGGGGTAGGGGGACCTGGCCGGCGTCCGTCTTACCTGGGCACAGCCCGAGGAGGCCGAAGCTGAGCAGCAGCGCCATGGGGTCGGAGCGCCGGGCCATGCTGCGGGCATCGCTCGCCGCCTCGCGCAGACCGCTGGGGCGCGCCGCGGGCCGGGCGCTGTCCGTGGTGCTGAAGCCGCGCCCGCGCCGCCAGCGGCCGGCTGGAGCTGGGCCCAGGTGGGGGCTCGCCGCCCGGAGATGCTAGGGGCTCAAGAAGAGGGCTGGAGGAGGAAGCCGCTTCTCGCTTTTCCCGGTCTGAGCGGGCGGAGCGTTTTCCGGCTTCTCGGGAACACGATGGGGACGGTGAGGGGAGGAGTCTCCGCCCCGGAGGCGGAAGCGCTGGGTCCCAGAAAAAAAGGGGGTCTCTGGGCGCCGTGTTCTTTGGCGGCTCCTGCCCAGTTAGGGTGTGTATGAGACAGAAAAAGGGCGGTGCACGAGGTCTAAGGACCTTAGTCGGGGGAGGGCCTGGAGAAGGGGGGAGGTCGAGCCGGAGGAAGCAGCGCCAGGAAGCCAAGTGTGTCAGGCCCGCTTGGTACAGGGGGGCGGAGGGGCGGGAATCGTAGGGCCTTTGGGGGTTCCCTGCCTTTTTTTCCCACTGAATCCAAATGATCCAGCTTCCCGGGAGGGTTGATGATGCAGCAGAGATAATGCATTTTAGGCCCTTAGAGAACGAAATAAGGGGGCCCCTCACCTGTCTTCTTCTCTCTTTATAAACTCCTGAAAGACTCATCTTCCTGCTCTCTGCCATGGGGTCTAAGGCGGGGAGGTCTGGACTATGCCTGCAAAGAAGGTAACCATGAAGGTTTGGACGAGTGGGAGGATAAGCGACCCTTAGCCGTGAGCAGTTCTCACCGCCATCCCCTTCTACTCCGGTCCGTATGACTCGGGGAATCAGAGGACCACTTCACGGAGGCCCCTCCAGAATGACGCTAACACAAAGCAGCAAAGCCGAAAGGGAGAGAGATGTCAAAACTTGATTACACCGCGGATCTTTTAGCTACTGAGTCCCACTCCCCCTCCCCCCCTTTTTTTTTTAAATCTAAAGCAAGTTTGAATTGGGTTTTTGGCACTTTCAACCAAAAGATTCCCAACTATAACAGCCTTATCATACAGCGAGGCTCTGTTTTGTCCCATCCATGTCTACTTCTCCAACCTCAACTGGGCCACTAGCCCACGCTCCAGCCACTGGCAAGGTCTTTAAATTCCTTGAGCATTCTTTTCCTCACACCCTTCCTCCACATTGGGAGCCTTTTAAACACTGAGTTTCTTTTGGCTCGTTTATCATCCTGTTTTCTCCTAACCACCTTCTAGTAACTTTCAGCATTTGGCAGAAATATCAGTTCCTAAGGAAACTCTGCCTGACCCAGGACCAGGTGAAGTACCTTGCTATATGTTTCTAGAGCATTCCCTCGTATACTACTTGTTTTATATCTATCTCCCCTGCTAGAACCATAAGCACCATGAGGGCAGGGACCATATCTGTTTGGTCACTACTCTATCCCCAGCAGTGAGTGCAGTCCCTGGCTCAAAGCGGCCTTTCATAGTAACTTTGGTATAAAGTTCCAAATAGCACTACCTTACGCAGTTCTCAGAGAGCTGCCTTTCCTGCTAGACCATGAAGGAGCCCAGTGCCAAGCATGTCACGGGGGCTCAACAGATAAGGAAAAGGGTCAGTACAGGACTGGCATCTTTTAAATTGTAGGGAAACATTCCTTTCTAAAAGCTGAGCTAAAAGCAAATTATTCAGTATGTCCCCTTGTAAAAACACCTGATTCCTATGAGGAAGAGGTCAGACATACCTCCTCTCTCCAACCTTTTTACCAGTTCTGACACCAGCTGTCCCTCCCACGGCTCTCTCTACTTCTCTGCTGGGTTTGCTAATTCATCACAATAGACACAGAACTCACTGACCATACTCACAGTTATGGGGTTTCTTAGGGAAATAACAGATTATAATTCAGGATCAGGGACAACTCAGGATACAGTTCTTCCATCAGGACCGCCTATTCTCAGCTGTGCCTGCACGCAGGCCTCACTCTGGCCCTCAACCTCTCCACCCCTCAGCCCAGCCTCTGCCCTGCTCAGGCAAGTGTTACAAAGCTCTTTAGCTCCACCGATAAGTGTCCAGGGGCACCCACTCCACCAGCAAGCCTCAGCCCAAAGGTGCTCAGCTCTCTTGCTCCATGGGTTGGCAAGCCTAGCTCCGCTGACAAGTGCCCAGAAGCACCACACTCCACCAGGAAGCCTCCTGCATGAAGGCGCTCAGCTCTCTCACTTTATGAGCTGGCGTACCACCCACTGTAACCACCTTACTCTGTGGGCTGGGGAGCTCACTGCACTGTCTCGTTCTGCTGCCGCTGCTTCTCTACCACTGCTTCTTGCCATCGTGTGCCACCTCCAGTGTTACAGCTCTCTCTCTGTCTCCTGGGTCTAGGAAGCTCTCAGTGCACGGACTGTGGGTCCAAAGGGCATGCTCTGCTCCCATCTCTTCTTCTTGGCGGTAGTGAGTTCCTCCCTTTCCACCTCTAGGACGGCTCATTTAAAGCCTAGTGGGATGGCAAAACTGACCAATCTCCTCATTATTGTTCCATACACCTTATTTGCATGGTCCCACCCCCGCAAGGGTGCCATACACCTTATTTGCATTATTAACAAGTCGTCTAATCCCCCTTGGTGGGCCATAAGCACCTTATTTGCATAATCCCACCCAATCATTTGGTGGGAGTTACCAGATCATGGCGTGAGAAAGGCCATATAAAAGCAATCCATCGCACTACGGGCCACCACCTGGCTTTTCTAGCCATGGTTCTTTCATACTTGGAGGATAACTTCCCCTTCCCAATTATTTTACCAGTCCAAAACAGTCACTAACAAGTAGTCCTTCAGCAGGGCAAAGAGTCCTAATGATGAGGTTACTCAGGTCCCAGCCACTCGGGTCTGCTGCAGGTGTCCATCTGACCTGGTCAGGTTCTCCAAAAGTCATCTCGCCTTCACCCTTTCTGGCCTCTGATAACATTTAACTAAGAGAAGATTATTCCCTTGCTCTGAGCCTGACAAAGTATCAGCATAGCAAAACCTTTAAATGATTTTAGGTTTGGCCAAGATACTCCAGTCCAGCAGTGCCTCTCCCTTAGTCCACTCTTTCACAGTTACTTTCTACAATAAGCATTTTTACAATCACAATTAACCCTGATAGCAATCAACACTCACAGCTGAATCAAATAATCCTATCAAAATCTTCCCCCACCCTCTCTTCTCCAGACCGATCAGGAAAAGAGGAATCTATTCAGTGGGGATCATCCCTTGCCCCCCTCATTTAATGTAAGCACACTCATGAAAGCATGTAAGCCAGCCACTTCATGCCTTTATCTCACCTCATTTTAGATAACCAATGTTTAAATTGCCCATCCCTGTCAAACCAGTACTCTGAGGAGACAAGCATGTTCCTTGGTCTGAAGAATCTTCTGGTTGGAACTTTAAGCATCTGCATCCATAAGCAAAGTCCAGTCCAGAGCAAGCCATCAAATTGCAGCAATCTACACCAGCTCATGGTGTCAAACACCTTTCTCTTCATTTGGTCAGGTTGTGGTCAGCTCATCCCTAACTACCCAAGCTAGGTCGGTGGGTACCAGCCATAGGCCTGAGACTCCACACACCTCCATTCCCTTCAGACCAGCCAGCCCCTTCTATCTCATCCCTAACCCCTATGGGCTAGATCAACGGGCACCACTTGTAGGCTCAGGAGTCCACACAACTCCCTGTACTTCAAACCCCCTTCTCTCTTTCATCCCTGCCTGCCGTGGGCTAGGTCGATGGGTGCCAGTGGAGCACGTCCAGACTCAGGCCATCTCTTCATTGCTGCACTTCCCCCACTTTCACTCACTGAGTGGACCCAGGTTGGTCACTCGAGATGAACATACCAGGCTGTCTACTCGCCAGCTCTCTTTAACTGCCAGTCTTGGAAGGGGGTTCTTCTGATGGGCACTGACTTTTCTTGCCTTGATGCATCCAATGGCAAACTGCTTGCTCAAAATTCAAAAAGCAAAACAGCCATTGATTTTTTCTGCAGGTCCTTCCTTCAAATGCAAATTTCCTGCTCTCCCAGCAGTTCTGAGTGGGTCTGTATGTCTTTTCAAATGCAAATTTCCTGACTATGAAGGTTCTAGGTGGGGCTCAGGTTTTCAACCTAAGCCCCCAATACTCTATACATAGGGCTACTGCATTCAGACCAACAGCCTGTGTTACTTTGGGGCAAATCCTAGTTCCCCTTTCAGCATATCCAATCAAGTATTGGCTGAAGGTGGAGTTTCACGCTCTCTGTAATATATAATACCCAGTATTCATTTCCATCATACATGTAGGTCTGTTTCACAACACTAAGTAGTAAAAACATTCAATATCCATAGTATATTCAATAAACACATAACCCTTTTTAAAACATTCTGGTTTTATCTTCTATCCACCTTGACTATCTTCCCACTCATCTGCATAGGGCCTTGGGCCTCTGGCTGGGTGGAGCCAGAAGACCCTGGCCCCCTGTTAATCGTCTTGTTTCACTGGCCTGGCTTTTGCCCCAAGCCACTCCAGATGCTGCTTTTCTCTGCTCAGCTGCAGCCTAACATCTATTACTTTCCTTTCAGTCATTACAGACGACAACAGCCAAAGGAACCATTCAAAAGTTTCACTTCCCAAGCCCCTTTGTTCTTTCTCTTACAAAGTCCCATGCTTCTGTGAGTCTGGAGCCATCCCAAGGACTCCTGCTTCTGACATCAACTGTAAAAATGGTGTGGCGAGGGGGTGGGGGGTGGGCGGTGTCTGACCTCTAATTTCACAAGGGGGAAGGAGAAGCAAGATCAACAGCCCAAGGCCAATTCCTATGAGGCAGAGGTCAGACATATCTCCTCTCTCCAAATTTTTTTTTTTTTTTTTTTTTTTTACCAATTCTGACACCAGCCTTCCCTCCCACAGCACTCTCTACTTCTCTGCTGGGTTTGATAATTCATTGCAATGCCCACACAGATCTCCCAGACCATACTCACAGTTACAAGGTTTATTAGGGAAATAATAGGTTATAATTCAGAATCAAGGATAACTCAGGATACAGTTCTTCCATCGAGACAGCCTCTTCTCAGCACAGGCAGGCCTATTTCTGGCCCTCAGCCTCTTGGCCCCGCGGC